CAGACTCTGAAACTTGCTCTCCAGCGTAGAGATGCTAAAGCAAATGGAAGAATTGAAGAGGTCCAAGAGCTGAACAGAAAATTTCAAAGATCAGCTAGAGAAGATAAAGCCAAATACTATAATAAAATATGCAAAGATTTAGAATTAGAAAACCAAAAAGGAAGAACACAGTCAGCATTTCTCAAGCTGGGGAAACTGAAGAAAACTATTACATAATTTACAATAAAACCTTTAAAGTAATAGGTAAATAAATAAAATACCAGTGGCATAGCTCCAGCATCAGAGCTACGTGCAAACCACTACAATAGTACGAACTGCAGACATGTGGTAGACCATGAAAACAGGTATCAGAACAATTGGGTGTTACTCTTAGTTTTGTGCAATGGCCCTGAAGCTTTCTGGATTAAAGGGCCCTATTAAGGACAGTGGTTCAAGCATACCAGCCTCTCCTTGGAAACCCTATACAGGGTCTGTATGGGTCAGAACTAACTCGATGGCACTTAACATCATTGGCAAAATTCTGATATGGTGCTGTAGGATAAAGCACTGGACTGTAATATTGGTCTGAACCTCAAAGTCGGCAGTTCCAACTCACCAGCCACTCCTTGGAAACACTATATGAGGTCGCTATGAGTCGGAAACGACTCAACAGCACTGAACATTAACAACGGTTTCAGAATTAATGGTTCAATTCCTGATTAAATGATTTCTAAATTGTTGCTTTCTAGATATTAAAACTTGTTTATGATTTGTATTCCATATTTTATAGAACAGTCAATTCAGACAGTTTAAAATTTAAAAATACTCAGACTCTTAAAGGACTTAAAAGTCAACTAAGATGTAATATCAAGCATTAAAGAGGGTTAGAGAATAGCTACTTACATGAAAATATAAAACACATTGAAAGATGCTTTTGGTATCTATTTCTAGTTTATACCCAGAAAAAGTCACTTATCTTTATGTTGGGCCCTCAAACTATATAACAATGTAATATAAAACTGTAGACAGATATAAATAAGGTGCTAATGAGAAAATATGACAGCTTACCTTACAGAAGGAATTCATGAACATTTCTGTCAAAGGCTGTGGAACTGCAAGGTGGGTATCTTCTGGGCTGATCTTAAAAACTGTCTCCAAACACTGAATTGCAACTTGAAATAGAATTTAATAATGAAAAAATAGCCAATTAAAAAAGAAACCATCCTTTTCTTTTCTGGTAGGATTGCAATCTGTTGTATTTCAGCATATACCATCACAGAACATAAGGAAAACTAAACAGTTCAGCTGCCTAGAGATTTCTCTTTATAGAAGAGCTATTGAAGGAAGGCAACTTGATTTCTTATTCACTTAAAGAAAAATGTTATCCAGAAGATGATTTCTCAATATAATCACATCATATTCTTATTGAATGCTACAAGAAGATGATGTAGAAAGAACAAGTCATTAACAATGTACTCTCACCCACCAAAACTTCTGAGTCATAAATACTTTAAATTTCATTAGGTTTAGTACAGTGTGAGTGTAAAACTAAAATGTTATCTTTTTTTTTTTTAATGTGAGAAACAAAATTCTTCACCTGCTTTTTAAAATCAGGCACAATTAGCACCTGGTACATAGACTCTGGAGTCCTGGTGTGGCGCTATGGGCTAATGTGTCGGACTGCAACGTTGTTTGAACTGCAAGGCTGGTGGTTCAAGCTCGCCAGTTGCTCCTTGGAAACCCTATACAGGGTCGGTATGGGTCGGAATCGACTCAACAGCACTTAACAATAACAACAACAAAACATAGAAGACTCTAAATATTAATCCTGGTTTACTTATGTGAATATGTTGTTGTTGTTAAGTGACGTCGAGTCGATTATGACCCATAGTGACCCTGTATATGGTTTCCAAGGAGCGAATGGTGAGCTTGAACTGCTGACCCTGTGATTCAAATGACTTTGCAGTCTGGCGCATTAACCCACAGCACCAATAGGTCACTTAAAAAAAGGCATTCAAACACGCAAATTTCCCATGCTCCTACTACTACATGTATGGCACTGTTTTAAGGTGGTAAACACAAAGCAGTGAACTTAACAGTTAAACAAAAATCACTGTTCGTATGATGAAGCTAATATATAATAGAGGAAGGCAGACAAACAAAATTAGAAAAATATATAGCATGTTGTTGGTGTTGTTATGTTCCACAGAGTGAGTTCCAACTCATAGTGACCCTGTACAGAGTTTATGAGGCTATAAATCTTTGTGGAAGTAGAAAGCCTCATCTTTTTCCTATGGAGTGGCAGGTGGGCTTGAACAGCCAATTTGTGGTTCACAGTCCAGTGCTTCTCCTCTCTAGCCACCATGCTCCCATATAGCATGTTAAGTGATAATAAGTTTCACTTCTATATTTGGTACCTGACAAGATAATTAGCTTGGCTAGAATACAAAGGACATAGAAAGACATATTCATATGGGAGATGATGCTGGAAGGAAGACTAGCATCTGATAACAAAGCACCTTAAATGGTATTTTCAATGGATCTGAACCCATGCTTAGGCAAATGGAGAGTCATTAAGGAATTTAGTGAAAGGGAAAAACAACTGAGTACATGCTTAGCACTTACAGTCTGGTAGGAATGTTGAGAATAAATTAGAGGGGAGTGAGAAAAGCAGCTTCCGACTTAGATGATACAGAGTCTGAACTCGGACAACAACAGTGGATCAAGTATATCCCATCCTCTCTTTTATAAGTATTCTGATAGTGCTCGAGTTTGAGAAAGTATTCTCTCTTGGCTCCACAAGATGAGTATCTAGCTGAAATGTCGAGGGCACTTACAAACAATGTGGACTAGAGTCACTTACAGTTGTAGATGACTTTTAAGAGATACAAATTCATTGTAGCCCTGACAAAATTACACTGTCTTCAAAGAACCACAACTCGAGCAACTAAGTTACCAAATGCAAAATGTTAGTGTCGCGTAGATAGAAAATAGTCTGTTTACCCACCCCTCACTCACTCCATTACTATTTCTGTCGAACAGGTATACTTGAAGGTATATCTTAAGGCCATAAGAAAATAGGTTCTTTGTCATGAAGATAGCTGGTATCTGTGCCTGTGTATATGTAATAGTAAATATAGATTCTATTACATAAATTAAATGTATATATGTATATATATATTTCCTTGGTGAACTTTCTCACTCACGATCAGATTGATTATTTCCTTTACTGTGCATGTAGCATATACATAGCTCTATTACTGTACTTATCACACATATTCTATGTGCTTACATGTCTGTCTTCTTGAGGATAGAGACTATATCTTTTTCATCTTTAACTCTTAACCAATTCTGGCAGACAGTAGATCCTCAATAAATTTAATTTAGGGTTGTCTTTGTTTTCAGAAAAAGTAAAAATTTAATTTCAAAGGAAATACAAACCACTCCATAAAAGAAAGCATTCCTCTCCTGGAAAAAGAAAATTATTTACAATCATGTAAAAAATAGCACTCAAAGAAGTTCTTAAGCAAAACTTAGAGACTGAAACTTCAGATCTAAAACAAACATGTGGAAAGCAAGGGGTTTTTATGCCTTATTCAGGAAATCCAGTCTAGCTCCTTTATCTAGGCTTAAAACATAGAAATGGCATATTCAATAAAGCATGTGTAAGTCAAAGTCTCTCAAAGAAGGAAACTCAAATAATTTCCACTAATGGAGTCCCAGTGTGGCGCTGTAGGACTGCTAACTCAAGGTCAGTGGTTCAAACCCACCAGCTGCTCTTTGGAAACTCTATGCACGGTCGTTATGAGTCAGAATCGACTAGACAGCATTTAATAATACAGAGCAAAAAGTCAAAGGCAGAAATTTGTGAGATGTGGAGAAACAACACAGCCCTGTTGGGTTCCAGCTCTCACACTGTACTAAACCCAATGAAATGTAAGGAGGTGGGTATTTAAAATACATATATATAATTTGCTTTGATAAGCAAACTAAATTACCAAAAAGCTTATCACTCAACACTAACATTATTTAGAAAGGTATATGATTTAGTGAACAAATCTACCACAGCCTTAGAACACAGGACTATCTCTTTATTATTAACTCAGAAAAACAAAATTAAGTAACATGGGTAAAATCATTCAACTTATTTTTATCTCAAAAGTTTCATTTAGGAAAAAAGGATTATTACATATGGTCATCCTCAGAAATAAGTCAGAAAAATCTAAAACAACACTATATATAAATGGGAGGCTTTAAAGTTCATGAAAAAATTCCATTATCTTTCAATTTCAGTTTTGAGCACCTACCATGAAATGGTCAAAATCAAAACATATTTTGAAGGTACACCAAAAAGATTTATAGGGATAGAAACTGAGAGAAAAAGAAGAGCCCAAAATGATGCCCAAACTTTTGGCCTAAGCAACTGAAGAGTTGGAATTACTATTAGTCAAGATGTGCAAATTGCAGATAGAACGTATTTTGTGTGGAAGGTACAGGAGTCCAGTTTTGGCCACATTAAAATTGACATTTCTATTAGACTTCTGGTGTGGCGCTGTAGGATCAGTACTAGACTGAGAACCACAAGGTCAGCAGTTCAAACCTACAAGCTGCTCCTCGGAAATCTTATACAGGGTCTTTATGCATTGGAATCAACTCAGTGGCACTTAACAACAACATTAAGCACTGAACTGCTAACATAAAGGTTGAAAATTCAAACCCACCAACCACTTCTTGGAAACCCTATACAGGGTTGCTATGAGTTGGAACTGACTCAACAATAACATTAACATACAAGTGGAAATATCTATTAGACAGTGAATTCATAGCTCTGGTAGCATAGTGGTTACAAATCGGGCTGCTAACCTCAGGGTCGGCAGTTCGAAACTACCAGCGGTTCTGCGGGAGAAAGATGAGGCATTCTGCTCCCATAAAGATTTACAGCCTCGGAAACCCTGTACAGGGTCACTATGAGTCGGAACTGACTCCACGGTACTTAACAACAACAACAACATAATATATAAAAATATAGAAATCTACAGTTCAGCCTAGGCTGGGGATATAAAGTTGAGATGTGCCAGCATATAAATAAAGGATATTTAATGCCAAGATGCTGAATAATACAATAAAAAAAGTGAGTATAGGTAGAAAAGAGGACCAAGACCTGGACCATGGTACTCTAGGTCAGGAAGAAGAAGAATCAGCAAAAGAGAGAGAGAAGGGACAAACAATGAGATATGAAGAAAATCAAGAGAGTGTAAGTATCCTGGAAGTCATGTGAATAATGCATATCTGAAGGATGAGAGAGTAGTCATCAACTATACCCATGGTAGCTCATAAGTTAGATGAAGGTTGTGAAATGACCACTGAACAAAACAGCACAGAACCACTAATGACCTTGAAGAGAGCAATGTAGGTAGAGATGGAGCAGAAGACTAACTGGAATGGATTTATGAAAAAATACGGGAAAAACTGGACACTTCTTTCAGAGTTTTGCATCAAAGACAAACAAAAAAAGTAATCTTGGTGTTGCTGTAGGATAAGCACTGAACTGCTAACCACAAGATTGGCAGTTCAAACCCATCAACTGCTTCGTGAGAGAAACGTGAGGCTTTCTGCTCCTGTAAAGATCTGCAGCCTCAAAAACCCTATACAGGATCACTGTAAGTTGGAATGGACTCAATGACAGTGGGGTTGTTTTTTTTGGTTAGGGTGAGAGCAGGGCTGAGGAGAGTATGGCCAAGGGTAATTCTGTTACTGTTTTCTTTTGTAAGAAGACAGAAATAATGAAAAGCTTATAACCTGATGGAAATGATCCAATAAAGTGAAAATCTGATGATTAAATGGAAAGAGGGTTGACTACCTGGTGATATCCTATAATAGGTAAGACAGGATGGGTTCCATGTGCCTGGAGAGTTTCCATTTAGAAACAAACATGGGCAGATCATTTATAGTAATCGACAGGAAGATAGACAAACAGACTGAGCATGTGGATATAGATGAGAGCAGGTAGCAGGACAGTGGTAGTCTGCACAGGTTGTTTTCAGATTACTTAAATTTTCTTGAAGTAGAAAGCAAGGTCATTAACTGAAAGTGAGGATGCTAGAAGTGGTTCAGGACTTGAGAACAGGACAAAGTGTTAGACTGGTCATCTAGGAGAATGAAGGATTGTGTGATTGCCTGGCAGCATCAAAAGTTCATTTGAGGTTCAAGGTCATAGCTTTTAAGCAGAACCAGTGAGCAGAGCTGTGTGTGTTTTTTCAACTACATATAACCAGGAGTCCTGGTGTGGCACTGTGGGTTTATGTGCTGGACTGCAAGGTCCAGCTGAACCGTAAGGTTGGCGGTTTAAGCTCATCAGCTGCTCCTTGGAAACCCTATAAAGGATTGTTATGAGACGGAACGAACTCAATGGCACTTAACAACAATAATGTATAACCAACGAGCCCTGATGGTACATTGGTTTAGCTCCCAGCTGTTAACAGACAGGTCAGAGGTTCAAACCCATCAGCCTTTTCCAAAAGAGAAAGATGCTGTAGTCTGTTACCACATAAATTTACAGTCTTGGAATCCTGTGGGGCAGTTCTAGTCTGTCCTATAGTGTCACAATGAGTCAGAATCCACTTGATGGCACCGTGTTCTGTTTTAGCTTTTTTAATGTACATTCATATGGATACAAGTATGGAGTAGATGGAGAGTTGGATTTTTGAAAGAAAGGGATACAAAGGAATGACTATCATGATAGACCATGGAATTTAAGCTGGGTAAGAAGAGCGGTATGAAAAGGTGAAAAATCATGAAATTGAAGGTACTTGTGGGGTCAAAGAATTGTAAGGGTAGAACGTTTAGAGGGAGGGAGTCAGAAAAAACAAGCAGTGGTAGTCAGGAAGTAAAATGCCCACGATTAAGATTTGAAGGAGATATTCTTTGGTAATGACAAGGTCTAGGGGAGTTTCTTGACCTTGGTGCTAGTAGTATTTGGACCACATAGATAATCCCTTGCTGCCAGGGGTATGTCCTGTGTATTGTAGGATCATCCCTAGCCTCTACTCACTAGAAGCCAACAATAACCTCCCCTTACTGTGACATCAAAAATGTCTCCAGACATTGCAAAATATTAAGAAACACTGATCTAGACGATAATCAAGAGGATGTGTGGCTGACGTAAACCCAGGAAATATATATCACCAGAGGAGAGAACAATAAGGAACTGAGAAGCCAGAGAACAAAAAAAAATCATCTATGAGTGTATTGCAACTGCTGAGAATTAATACAAGAATAGTGCTAGAAAGAGTAGCAGGGACAAGGAGCCCAAACAGTCAAAAAATGAAATAGATATATCAGTTGATGACAATCATCAGGAGGAGTGAGTGACATGGTCCTCAGAGCTGATGATACACCAAGCTAGACATTAGCGGTAAAGTTGGTATTAGAACTTGGGCTCCTTTCCTAAAGATTTTTTTAAATGTCTAGAAGGTGGGCAGACACCTCCACATGATTTCATAATCAGTTAAATTAGACTCACAGAGATAAAAATAGGGGCTGGTCAAAACCAATTGGCACCATTTTGGACTGCCATATATAACAAACAGCTGAAGGCATATACTGTGTATTTTTGGATGAGTACCATCCTAAAAATAGGACTTAACATCTTGGTTTTTCAAAATTCCCAATTTTCTTTCTCACCCTTACAAGTATTATGCTGTCATCTTTGAACATTAAAAAAAAAAACCCAAAAACTAAATGATTGCATTTAACTGTTTGCAACCAACCATAATCAGTATTTCCCTTAGATAATCATAACCATTATCTTCACATAATCTAACCAATGAGGAAAAAAAAAAAAAACGCTTAATATTAAATAAAAAAAAAAAAAAAAACGCTTAATATTAAATGGACTGATTGCAGTGTTCTTCAACTGTGTGTCACCTGTTCCTCTCTTGCCACCGGGAAAATCATCTTTAACAGACTGTAAGGAGATCTGAAACAAATGTCCAATTTCCAATCCCTTTTACAAGGTGCTATTAAGATAACCCATCAGCTGTTCCTCAGAAACCCTATATAGGGTCGCTATGAGTCAGAACCGACTTGATGGCACTTAACAACAACAACAATTATGATAACTAAAGGAGCCCTGGTGGCACTGTGGGTTCAACATTGAGCTGCAAGATTAGTAGTTCAAATCTGCATGAGAAAGATGAGGCTGACTATTCCCATAAAGAGTTATAGCCTTAGAAACCCTATAGGCTCACTATGAGTCAGAATTATTAGCTGGCAGTGGGTTTGGTATTATAACTAAGGCGTTTTCATACAGTGTTTCAAAACTGGATGCTTTCCTATTAAAAAGAGGACACAATATGAGTTTTAGCATAAGAACTAGGATTTAAATCTCGGTTTTGCCATATATTAACCAGTTACTTAGCGTATCTAGTTTCATTTTTTTATCTGTTAAATATGGATATTTACAGTCACTGTGAAGAATAAATTCTGTATAAAACAGTTATAATACATACTAGTGTTCAGTAAATGAAAGATAGTTCCCTTACCCTTTTGCTTTCTAATTAACAGCACTGTTGATTAAAACAAATCAAACAAGCCTCCAAAATTAAACCAATTGCTGCTGAGAAGACTTGAACTCACAGCCCCACAGTAGAACTGCCCCACAGTGTTCCCAAGACTTTATGGAAGCAGTATGCCACATCGTTCTACCAAGGAGCACTGGTGGGTGTGAACCTCTGACGGTTCAAAGAACAGGGGAGCACCACTAGGCCTCCTCCTCAGAGAATAAGAAAATAATAACCATATAGTAAGGCCTCTCTTCTTGAAAGATCAACAAAACATTCTGATTTTGTTATAATGAACCATAAAATCAGGTTTATAGCTATTTTAGTCTTTATAATTAAAGTATATACAAATGCAAGGAACAGTTGCTTACCTTCCAAGCTTTCTTGTTCATCCGAAGTATAAGCATCCATCTGACTTTGTTCCCGTAAGAAACGAATAACTGCATAAACTAGCTGCTTGATGGATGACATTTTAGAAGTTTAAACACGTTTTCCTGATAAGAAAAATAAAAACACTGAACTAAGTTATCTGGAATAATCAGCCACAAAGGCTACAAACTACAAGGGTTATAAGTAACAAGGGCTATGAATTACACTGAAAGTTAAAACAGAGCAAAACAAAAAACCCTGTATTACTTTCTCTCTTCCTCCTGTTAAGACCCAGGAGAATGCCCTACAAAGTATTGTTACGGCAATCTATTACATATTTTCATTTATATTGAGTAATTATGTTAAATCTTACGTAAGTAACATTGTTCTCAAAACATGTACAATATAAGCTCTCACTAAGCACTTAGGTATATCTTAACAACATACATAGAGTAGAGAGCAGTACAGATAAATACATACCACTGCCAGGGAGTCAATTCCGACTCATAGCAACACTAGAGAGTTTCCAAATCTGTGAATCTGTTGTATAGGAGCAAACAGTCTCGTTTGAGTATCCCCAAAAGGCCTCAATACTAAATTGAGGAAGATACCATACTGCTGACTCAGAAGCTGATCCCCACTTGGTATTTTTCTCTATTTCATGAGCTTTTTTTATTTGTTGGTTTTTAAAGAAAAATGTATGCATAATTTACACTCCACTTAGGCTGAGTTACGTGATGAGAAAATATATTAAGGAAATGTTGTTCAACTATTTACTGTCATCCTTAATGAAAATGGCACTTGTATTTAATCAGCAGACGTGTCACGATGGATATTACAAACCGATCGGAGCTCTCTGCAATAGCTGTGCACTCGTGGACAAGCTGGAAGTTCCCTGTCTTGTTCATTCACATGGAATACTATTGCATCCAAACAGTGGCGCAGGGCCAGCAGGCATTAAGGGTTTATTTCCACTAAATCGCATCATCCATCTGTTCCCCAGGTTCCCTAATTCAAAGCCAGGGTGTGGTACCCACCGCTAGGATGTTTATTATGTGTGTACTCATTTTAAAGGCAAGCCCAGACGCTAGTCAAGGGGGTTGCAAGTATTGAATAAGGGCCCAGGTCAGAAGGTGAAAACAGAATGGGGGAGAAGGGGTGCAGAGGGGGAAAGAGACATCCAACCTCCTCCCGACTTCACTATCGTTCTGTCCCCGAGGACAGCGACCTCCTTCTCCCTCCCTTCAGCACCAGGGCCGCAACTTGGCCTAGACGGGGTTTGCAGCCTTGTAAGGTGCAGGCCTCCAGTGGGTCTGCAGGAGACTCACCCTTCCCCGGACCGAAGCCCCTTACCAACAAGAAGATAACCTACCAGACGACGGCAGCTGTCTCGCGGGAATCCGTAGGCCGGTCCGCCCGCCCCTTCGTGCTCAGGGCTTGAGCCTGGCTCCTGAGCCGCAACGCAGATAGGGGTCACCCAAACTTCCACGATTCCCGAGCCCCCGTCGCCCCCGCCGCCCCCTCAGCGCATCCAGCAAAGCACTCAGCTCACGGAGCCTCAGCTTCACCAGGACCGCCCCCGGGGCGGTACAAGACGCGCTGGGCGGGACGCGCTGAGCGGGGAGGGGAGGGGCTGAAGTGAGCGCCGGCGTGGTCTGCTGCACGTGGGAGGGCGCGGACTGGGCCGGCAGTCTCCGCCGCTGCAGTGCTTGTCGCCGGTATCTCGGCCCAATCGCGGGTCCCCAGCGCCCTGTCTCCGCCGCCCTCCTCCTCGTCTCCCAAGTCGAAGGACAACGCGCCCGCCGCCGCCGGCCTCTCGGCGCTTCCATGATCGTCCGGTGCCTTTCGGCTGTGCGAGGCCTCCACAGGTACCTCCCGGGTGCGGGTTAACCTTGACCATGGATCAGGGCGGGGTCTCCTCCAGAGACAGTACCCAGCGCCCCGGCTCTCAGTCTTTCCTGACCACACCCCTACGACGCTCCTGGGACCGTTACTCCCTGCTCCTGCATAGCCCACCCTTGAGGAACACCTGGCGCTAGAGTCCGGGGGCCACCTTACCCTCCTCGGCTCCCTGGAGAGAGCATCCATTCCTCTTTGTTTAGGTCCGCCTCAGCCGCAGGGAGCGCAAACTGGTCACAGGCCTGGGCCAAAATGAAAGCAGGAGGGTGGTCAGGGTAAGGAAATGATTTGACTTTTGCCTACAGCCAGAAATGCCGACTTGTCATTAAAAGTGCCGCAGTTGTAGCCTCAGAAATAGCAATTCTCATTTGCCCCTCTTACATTATTAACATACCAATTATTAAGCACACACGACATGAAACCGTTTTGGAATTACTGCTTTGTAATATCCTTTTTATTTCTTCTAATCCAGAAAATATTATGGCTCTTTCAAGGACAAATTGGCTTGCCCGATAGTGGAAAAAAAAGATTTATTTGGCACGGTTTGGGCATCCTCAGCTACTGTTTTGGATTGTTTCCTAGCTCCCTAACCACACCCCTCTGCAATAGACCAGTTAACCACACCCCTCTGCAATAGACCAGTTAACCACACCCCTCTGCAATAGACCTGTAGTAGCAAGATGCTGAGAGACTTAAATTCTTTGCACGAATGCTCTGAATGGAGTGGTTTTCAGAAACATTGCCGTCGCCACCCGCACTCCCAATCAGAACTGTAAAGCCAAATGAAGATCCACCTGACAAAAAGAAATGAACATAATCCTGCTAACCTTCCCGGTGCCATCTATAAAACTACCCTAGAGTGTATCAGAATTGCAGGTTTTTACAGCCTTCTATTTCACATTGCCACTCACAGTGTATAGAGCTTTGTACTGTTCAGGCCTTGTAGTCACAGTGCATTCAGGGTACAACAGTAATAGTATACTGATCATTTTGAAGACAGTTCAGGGTGTTCTTTTGTACTAATCTGAGCTCTGGTAGCGTAGTGGTTACGAATTGGGCTGCAAACCGCAAGGTTAGCAGTTCGAAACTACCAGCTGTTCTGCGGGAGAAAGATGAGGCTTTCTGCTCCCGTAAAGATTTACAGCCTCGGAAACCCTGTATAGGGTCGTTATGAGTCGGAACCGACTCCACGGCACATAACAACAACAACAATAATCAGGTCTCTAGACTGCTGCTCTTCTTTATATATGACCTGCTGTTTGTTATATGGGTTGATGCCAACAAATGAAGATCTTAGGTGTGAGAAGAGAATAAATGTTCGTTTAAGAAAGCAATTCTCAAACTTTTTAGACTCAGGGCCCCTTCACTCCTTAAAAATGACTGACGATTTAAGAACTGTTAATGTGGGTTATATACTAGGAAATTTACCAAGTGCTTATTAGTTGCAGTGCAGTCATTGGTCTTGCAGAAGTCTATCAAGCTGATCTCCAGCATCACCAAGGCTGTATTTAACAACCACTGATCCTTTTTGTTTCTAGTCTTTGCATTCCAATCACCAATAACTATCAATACCTCTTGATTTCATGTTTGATCGGTTTCAGACTGAATAAGTTCTTAGAATTCTTCAGTTTCATCATCACCAACTTTTATAGTTGATGCATACATTTGAATAATAATGGTATTAACTGATCTTCTTTGTAGGTATATAGATATCATCCTATCACAGACAGCATTGTACTTCAAGATAGATCTTGAAGTGTTCTATTTGACGATGAATGTAATGCCATTCTTCTTGAGTCTGACATTCACAACATAGTAAACCATGATTGTCAGATTCAGAATGGCCAGTACCAGTATATTTCAGCTCACGCTCCGCGGGAGAAAGATGAGGCTTTCTACTCCCGTAAAGATTTACACCCTCGGAAACCCTGTACAGGGTCACTATGGGTCGGAACCGACTCGACGGCACTAAACAACAACAACAACAACAATGCCTGGCATAAGGAGTTCTGGTAGCGTAGTGGTTACGAATTGGACTGCTAACCTCAGGGTAAGCAGTTCGAAACTACCAGCCGTTCTGTGGGAGAAAGATGAAGTTTACTACTCCTGTAAAGATTTACAGACTCGGAAACCCTGTACAGGGTCTCTATGAGTCAGAACCGACTCCATGGCACATAACAACAACAACAGTGTCTGGCATATTGATCTTTATGCTTTCAATTTCAGTTTTTACAATTTTCAATTTTCCTAGATTCATACTTTGTACATTCCATGTTCTGATTATTAATGGATGTTTACAACTGTTTCTCCTTATTTTGCATTGTGCCCCATTAGCAAATGAAGGTCCTGAAAGCTTTATTCCATTCACATCGTCATGGTCAACTCCACCTTGAGGAGGCAGCTCTTCCAACCTGAGGGGCTCATCTTCCAGCACTATAATCTGACAGTATCCTGGTGATAGTCATAATGTTTTTCTATTCTGATGCTATCTTGCAGTATCCTACTGCTATTCATAAGGTTTAAAATGGCTAGACATTCAGAAGTAATTCACCTCTCCTTCCTAGTCTGTGCTAGTCTGGAAGCTCAGCTGAATCCTGTCCACCATGGGTCACCCTGTTGGTATGTAAAATACCAGTGGCATAGCTTCCAGCATCATAGCAACAGATAAGCCACAATAGTGTGACAAACACTTAAGTAGTGGAGCACTCATAACTGAACAGAAACAGTTGAACAGAGGGAAAAACAAGTCAAAATTTCTTAGCATGGCAAAAAGATCCCATTGTTACTCAGTAAACTGTATAATCTCTGTTCCAAAGTGTTTTTTATGGCACTGAGAAATTATAAAGTTACAGAAATAGTGGACAATGGAATATGTCTAATTTAAACTATATATAACTTCCAGATTTTTTTTTTTAATTCATGCCACAAACATTGACTGAGTTCAGTTACTATATGTAAAGAACTCGGCTAAATAACATGAGGATGGATGTATAAAGCACTTAGAACCTATATACAAGACACTTATATGCTGGTATGACTTGCTTGTTGAAATTTGTTATTTACTGCTTGGTGCTGTGGGTTAATGGGCCAGACTGCAAAGCTGTTTGAACTGCAAGGTTGGTGGTTCAAGCTCATCAGCTGCTCCTTGGAAACCCTATACAGGGTCGCTATGGGTAGGAAGTGACTTGACAGCACTTTACAACAATTTACCAAAAAGGAGTTCTGG